CTCCTTAACTCAATGAAATTAATATTTAAGGATAAGAACTTATAAAATCTTACACTTTAGGACAGGGGTGTCTCACTTCCATTCTCATTTAGTCATTTTCTATTATGGTGGTGTCTCATTGACTACTATCTTTATCAGCAAAGAACTCATTAACTAAATTTAGTCTCATCTTGTTAGATTTTCAGACGATTAGGTGCAGGTCCTTGCTGGGAGTCATTTTGTCAAAACTTATATATGCAACGATTTTTCCTATTGCTTCTTCTAAAATGATATGGTGGAGTGAACCAACTACTAACTGAAATTTTAAACTTAGGATAAATGCTTCAACCAATTTGCTTAAGGTTAATTTTGTTTAATTTATCCATTTGGTTTCTTTCTTGATTTGTCCTAGTATGATGTTAAGCCAATCATGCTTTAATGGTTGTGATTTTCAAGCTCACTTCTGCATCTATGTACTTCTGCAATTGTTTTCTTTAGGTAAAATTTTCTGATAACTTAATCATGATTTGAAATCGGAAGGCAATTCATTTATCAAGAATAACTGTTCCATTAAGAAAATTTAGACAATGTCAGAAGTGTAACAACCTCAATTTATTGTAAGTTCTATTTGTTTAAGGCCCAGAAACTCTTTCAATGTGGTCAAGCACTTGAATTTGTAAGCAACCCCAAGTTACTGACAATTGTATGGCTAAGTTCTATTCATGTTATTTCTCATTGTTCTGCTAGCTTCATTTCCTGTTATAATGTCCAAGGTGATATTGTGTGTTGCCGTCTTTTCATCTTGGATGCTATTGCATTTTGAATTTTATGTTCCATTTAGCCTATATATGGGATTAGCACTCTCCTTTTAGTTGTCTTAATTTTTTTTTTTTTCTATTTTTGAGAGCCTTGTGAATGTTTTATTGATTTCATCACAGCTTCTCCTTTGATGTTTTTGAAAGATCACCACAGAAACGGGAAAAAGAAACTCACCATGTCACTGAGTGGTATGGCATTGGTTGCCATAACCAGTCCACTTGGTTGCATATTTGCTCTTAGACACTCTGGCACTTGTCATGGTGCTACTGCAGAAGGTTTGTTTCAGTCCCAATCATTTTGAAAATCTGTAAAAGATGGAGTTCTCTTAACTGAATAAGGGATTTCACTTACTCTTTCAGGGATATCATGACGCAAGCTGCTTTTTCTTGGAGATGCTATTCAACAGAGGTTGTCTGGTTAAAGTTTCTCTTACTTTGAACCTACAGAAAATTTATATATGTTGGAGAAAGAAATCTACAGATTGAAATCAATTTTTTTAAATATAATTAGAAAATCTACCCGTTGGATTTATTGACTGACGGTTTCACCATGGAAATCGGCACTACTAGTATAGCTACCGCGTCCTTTTATTGGATTACCATTAGCCTGATGTCTCCTTTCCATGAAGCAATATCTTCTTAGGCCAACAGGCCCAACACACACTCTATTTCCCCTAACAGGAGATGCTTTGAACATTTTGTTTTGATATTTAAATAGGCTAAACTCCATAGCATCATGTATATTAATTTTTTTATGGCCAATACCTTCAAGAATTTTTATTTTCAGTTAACACATCTATAATTTAAAACATGTAAAATTAAAATTCAAAAATTAATGGTCAAATCTTTTATTTGACCATTAACTTTATTGGTAATTTAAGATTTTTTTATGTATTTCGAATCATAGAAGATACTGATTGAAAATGAAAATTATAGAGAATGTTGATTGTAAAAAAAAAGGTGTAGGGTGTAAATGGGGAGTATGCCCCAGTAAATAAACCTGATTGACATCTTATTTTGATTTTTTATATGGTTGCAACTTTTTGGTCTTGTTGGAGGAAAATAGGCGTTATTAGTTATATGCCTTCGATTTTATGCAGAGTTGAATAAACCATACCCATGATTCGCTACCGTGCGTATGTTATAGGTTTTATCCTTTGATATGGAAGTTACAACTAATCTTCTATTCTACGCTGCAGAATACCTATTAAGAGAAATTAAGAAAGTTGCATT